GAAATACTTCCGTACATTGTTTTGTATATTTTGAACGTATTCAATAGAGTACAGTTATCCGTTACAGTAGGAAATAGAACAGAGCACAGTTTTATACTGCTCTCGAGGCGATAAAATGTATCAATGGCGACAATTCTTCGGCAAACATCGATAAATTCGTTTCAATGTGTACAGTATCCTAGCTGGTAATATTGACACCGCTTGCCGCAATATCTTCTATACATTTCTCCATTTCTGAAAATAAGTTAACTGTTTACGATATTGTTTTGTAGCCGCAAGTGTTTTAGTTGTCAGTTTTCAAATGTATATTTATTGCGTTTTTGTCTTTTTCATATCTAGTTTTATTGCTTTTTGTATACTTATTTCAGAGCGTTTGACTGTCAATGCATACATATTCAATAGCACAAAAAGATCGTATATCCTTTGTATTAATTGAACAATACTTTAACATTAATATAGCAATATGTTGATTGAAACGCGTAGTTTATAAATTTAATAAATTATTTTGTATCTCATTTACTTTTGTGTCTGTAATGTAATTTGAATGAGTAACTCAGTGCATTGAATGTACACAAAGTACCGCAGACCAACAATTTACGTAGAACGTTCTCTACGTGTGTACGTGAGTTAGATTTACGATGGTTCGACAGGTTCGAAAGATTTTCTGATACCAAAGTTATCCGGGCTCGTTCGTGGCGCACGTTTTCATCATCAAATAGGTTTGCTTTGTCCTCGTGGCAGAACAAGGGCCCTTCAGTGACGGCACACGGCTTCGCACTTCCGTACGTGATCATTACACGAATGATACTTCCATTCAATATACTAAGCAAACGAAATCTTATATCACTCTTTTTTCGAACCATATAGGGTTTTTATGTAAAACTAATTACCCTGTTTCTACATATTAGGTAATACAAATGAAAATATTAATATTATTTTCGGCATAATGTAAACGTTCCCTTTTTACGAGGTTGAAATTATAACTCGTAGGTTTTATTGCGCAATCAAATTGTAAATACGATTCAAAGAGGCTTTTCATAGTAAGAGAGGGCAATATTGGAGATAATAAAAACATAACGTATAAAAATATAAATTGCGTAGCACTCGTAGCGCTCGTAGCAGGTGCTACGAAGCGTGAACACAGGGGTTATTATCAGCGCGCAGTCTCCGCCCCAAAAACCCTTTTCCTCTTAGCCGTCTAACCGGAAACCGGAAAACCCGGATTCAATGGGTTATCGTTGAAAATTATGATTTGGAAAGCGTGTGAGTTTTACACCTCGTTTTTACCATTCAAGCGGCCCACTAACATAAAAATGGTATACTTTGAATGGACAATTCTATGCTGATGGATTTTCTTGTTTATTGGTAATTGAAGTGAAGAAACACAAGTTTAAGTTATTTTTTACAATAAGTGTGGTTTTTGTTTAAGTTACATTGTTAATTAACTAGCTTGACATAATTGCAGCAAAAAATAATGTTGACATAGCCACAATGAGCCGGGGGCATGAATACAAAATGTGTATATAACTGGCATTCTGTTAACACGAAGGAACGTGGGCCAACCGTCGACCGTTACAAAGAGTAAACAACGTAAACACACAAGTTATAGGGGGCATGCACGGCGCACGGCGCTTCTCTCCGTCTCGCTACCGAGCGCCGAGCGCCACGTCGCGCCATTTTGTTTCGGCTAATTAACGTAGGATTGTCACAGTCCCTCGGGGACCTTGTTAATGTACATATCTGTTGTACACAACGTCTAGCTCGGGTTAAATTAATATTGCTGCCTGAATTTTTACAATATTTTTGGAAGGATGTTTGAATATAATGAAAGCTTATGTACATGTATACGGTATTTTTGTGCTATGTGAATGGAACGCTGTGTGAATGTCATCATTTTATCAATAACGGTTTTTTTAACCTTTTTACCGCAGTAGCATGTACCAAACATGCAGCTAATAAACTACTCAGAGTTGCACTAATGATAAATATTTCACTTGAAAAACCTATTTTTTGTACTTAAATTTGTAGGACAGTCTAATATATATCAAACACGTATATACAAACATATAAAGGTATAGCAAATACAAATTTTGTATTAAATAAACCTTAAATAACTCAGGTAAATTTTATTGAATTTCTTATAAAAGCAGGATAATGTACTTCAAACTGGTTGTAGAGGATTCCATGAAATCCTTGAGTACTTGTTTGCAGGTAACGACTTCTGTATAGTTAGGCACTTAAAAGTACTGCTTGAAATACCTAGAAAATTCTTGGTATAAAATATTATAATATATTTAGTGTATATCAGCATCGCTCGCCATTTTATCTGACTTTACTTTTCCGTAATGTAACGTCTTCACAGATATTTAAAGTAATATAAGAGAAAAAGCTGACACATCAGACAGTTTTGACTCTGACATGACATACACATAATATGAAACTGTAATGTACGGGACATTACATTTTATTAATTCAGCAAGATTTCTGCTATAACAACTTTAAGTGGGAGTGTAAAACATTTTTTCCCTTTTACCACAAAACGTGATCACAGTAATATAACTTTTATTCTTCGTATAAAAATTCTTAGCTTGATATACGACGTAGTAAATCATTGCTTTTAGAGTAATAAGTCTTCATACGACCACACTGCTTTGTTTGATGCAACGTTTATAGGCGAGGCGACGGATAACAAGACAATGTGTGGGCTAGGCTAGTACAAAATTAAATTTTCGTTCAGAGAGCTTTATAGACACTGCTCGATTTGTTCACTAAATAACAATCGGCCCCTTTAACTATACTCACAACAAAGCTATGATTAAGTTACTCTCTAAACACCTAAAGTGCTGGCAAGTTCCAACGACGATATAAGTAACACTTAACACATTGAACGTCGAGGGCGCACGGAGCCTTACAGGCAGTTACACAATTTCTTCATTGCTCTTTTGGGGGCAGAAATGACCGCATTACCTATATGTACATATACATATGTATAATAAAGCAGCCGTCACATGGGTAAAAAATTGCGAACATTTCGCAGTAAGCCCGTATAAATGACCTATTATATATAAGAAAACTGTTTGCGCAAAGTTTACAGCATAAAAACTATTTTCAATGTTATTTTTTGCCGGCTTACACAGTTTTTTACTTATAAATGTTTCGAACTCTTCTTTTGTGCAGGGTATCCAAGGAGCTTTTTGTAAAGGAATGCCGAGTTTGTACGCTAAAGTTGCTTTCCTAATTAGTTGGCAGAACTGTACGGGTCCATATTGGATTTCGATTTTGATGAGTTGTTTTGATTTCAGTCTTCGTTATTACATTATCACTTTTGTGACTTCTTTTGCATAAAATAAAGCAAATAAGAGCTATTTTCGGATCAAAGGACCAAATTATAATAAAAGGCCACTCCTTACACATAAGTTTACTATCACAAAGAACATTGATTTCTTTCAAGAACAGGGGAGAAATGTGAGAAGTCTATAAAAGTAACATTATAGAAACTTTACGACTGCCGTTACAAATAAGAATTGCAATAGGAAATACAATAATATTTTTGTGTGTAATAAAATATAAAAAACGCTTTACGTCGGTGACAAAGCAATATTTTGATAGGTATGTTGGTTTACTATCGTCGGCTCGTATAACTGCTGTTGGGGGAGGTTACTGCGCTACGCTCGTAAAATGGCCGTGAACTAAGTTCGACTTGTTTACCTGCCTCCTATCTTATTTTATTTTAGATTTTACGTTCAACACCTGTATTATTCATTATCTATTTGATACCTTATCATCCGTTGTTATATAAGTTTATGTGGTGTCTGATGAAAATGATATAATTTACGATTTAAACATTGTGTGTGGCTGTATGTGGTATAATTATTTTTCAAATTCGTTGAGAATTTAAATTCAAAACCATTTTTTTTATTTACCAAGTGCGCACCATTTCAGTTCGAACCATTTTTCGTTCCTCACTTTTATCCATGATCTAATCTATTAGAGTTGTTATTATGGGGTTAAAACAGCAACAGTTTATATTAGTAAACCGAATAAAAAGGGTATTAAATAATAACACTTGTATTAATTAAACAATTTATTTATTTAAACTCGGCAATGTAAACTTACAAAATATAGTACAGACAGTGAACAGGATATTTGGCACATGTTGAGCCTACCGATCGTATCGGATACCATATTCAAGTATCTATATATACACAGTATCATGCAGAGTATCATACGACACCGAGTGATAATGCCCCGCACGTGATCGGTTCGTTAATTTTCATCGTTATTCCAATTTGCATCGTTATTCTAAGTTTACATGCATTAAATGTATAATTATTATCATTTAAATTTTCCACGGGAGCGAGTCTGTGTTTCCCGTCGCTATACTCGTAGCAATAAACAAATTATGAGACTTACTTATCCATTGTAAATTTTCCTAATTATTAAACCTACTTTGGCAGTACCACTGTATCGAATTGTATTTACAATTAATTTAACTGGAAATATTAACATTCTCTCTTTCTATTTTAATGAAATGTCACTTTATTCTAATCGATTCAAAGATATAAAACATCGATATAAGATATCTACTGATTTTGTAACAAATTTTATCTCAAATCGATATAAATTATTTTGACCATACGCATCACTATGTGTATATTAATTACACACGTGAACTAAAATATTCCAAAATTTGGCACGTGTATATTTGGCAAGAGGATGTACTACAAATCAATATTTATTTTCAAAACAATATCAAAATTTCATAACATCGGTTGCTTAAGTTACAACAGTACTTAACCTATACAAATTAGATATGAATTTATTTACAATAATATATCGTAAACATCTACGCATCGAGTCGAAACGAATCCAACTAGTTTGAACATTCACAGCGGGCTATGGGTTCATTGGAGTCGTGACGGGAGCAGCGAGGGTTTATTGGAGCGTCCGCCGCGCGGTGCCTACACGTCGCTGGGTGGCGAGGCGGCGGGCTCCGGCCGCTAGTGTAGCTGGCTCTTGGTACTGAACCCGTAGTGCAGGTAGGGCGAGCCCGCGCCGTCTCGAGTACCGCCCGGCCCGCTGCCGCCGCCGCCAGAGCCGCCGCCCGGGCACTTCAGCGCAGACCGCAGCTCCGACGCCATCTCCGAACATAGTGATGCCTGTACACGAAACAGCCACGTAAACCATGCCCACGATATCCCCGCCCCGCATTAGTGTTTATTAGAAAAACATACCTCTTCCTTCTGTGATTCGGACAGCAGTAACAAATAGTATAATTAGTATTGAGTTAGTAAGAGGCATAGAACATTCCATAATTCAAATCACTTATTTAAAACTCGAAATTACTAAAAATATAATAGACGTTTCTATTTGAAGTAATTAATAAACTTTAAGACTCCAATATTTGAACAAGGTGCCCGAGCTAAGAAAATAAATACAAAGTTATCCACACATTTTGCTCACTAATTACAGTCTGGCTAGCATCTACTTGACTAATATAATAAAACTCGGTGAAAAATTTTACCTACGTTATTTTAAAAATAAACCTAGAACAAAATGAAAAACGTAATTAATCGACGAAAGCAAATAAAATAAATTAAAACGAACAACAATAAATGATCGCATAATATAACATTTTACATGTACCTATCTGAAATTAAATTTAAAAATTGAATTACAGCCGAACGTGTGTTAATTAATGTCGTTGTTGGCCGGAAAAATGTGAGCTGTTGGCAATTTTCCGGCGATGATAATTATATGCATGGTCGCGTGGAACATATGGCTTTCGATTAAGGCAGAGTAATGGCAAAAGGAAATTCTTGGATTAAAAAAATCGTCAAAGTCCCAGAAGAAATCTTAGTCATAATTAAGGCAATTACTCACTCGTTCGTCAACGGCAACTTTGCGCGACTTCCAGACAAATTCGCAGACGGCGATGACGCACGCAACGCCCATTCCACCCATTAGTACGACGAACACTCCGCCGACGTTTGCCAACCCTAGCTCGTTAGCAGTTGATGACGATTTCGAAGTCTCGTCCTGTGTTATCACAATTGTGATACAAGGTAAAATACATAATAATATAAGTTAGCGAACATAATATCCTTAACGCATTACCTTACAAAAATAAGGGTTACACGTCGATCTGGAGGCAGAATTTTTCCTATTCTAATATTGCTTTTCTTTATCAGACGTTGTCTTTATTTAGATTTTATTACAAAATACATAAGGTAAAGTTCTGATCCGCAAATACTTTGAATTATGTCGTAAGGATTGAAACTTTATTTAGCAAACGACACATTTTTGCCCTTTTAGATCCCCTAAAATATCACATTAACGTTTAGTGCAAACATGGGAAATATAAGGAAAATAATTCCAGTTAAGTATTTACATGCTGTGAAAGGTTTTAATGAAAATTCTTCCTTTGAGGCTATTTTCACTGCTTTCAATACGATGCCGCCATGCCTCGTTGAGGGAAGCAAAATTAAGAGTTATTTTAAAGTTATTTAATCCTTAATTTTGGTGAAATTGAACTTTAATAAAAAAATAAAAACTCTGATTTGGGCAAAAATATGCTTGTTGTAGATTTTTATTCATATCCTAAAGCAAACATAGTAAAGTTTCCTTTGCATATTTGGTTGAAGTAACAAGAGTTTTGGATTGTCGTTTAACAGTTAAATACCGCAGAGAGTAACCCTACGACTACTGCGAGTAGCTAACGACGTCGTTTTCCCTTTACTTACCCTACAAGACCCTCCGCCACGTTTCTCTTTCCACCATTTTGTTTTCAGAATGTGCAATTTTCCTTCCTCCTGCAGTTTGAGAACAGCCCCGCTTATAGCCGTACGGTATGGCGAGTCTAAAAACAATTCCAGTGTTCAAGTAATACTCGAGAATATATGTATATGAGTGCTAGTTTGTTACGGGAATTTCAAACTGTAAGTGTTTGTAAGTTTTGTATTTTTTATTGATTCGACTAAGTTATTTTAAAAAGAGTTATAAGTTTATTTATTTTATAAAATATGCGGAAAAAATTTCTAACAGATTTCTAACTCTACATATATAAACTCTTTTCGACGACGAACGACGTCCATAAAAGTTATATTGGCAACTACATATTTTGCAGTTACAAAAGTTTTCTGATTATTTCAAGCGTAAGCATAAATAAAATATGGACCATGGTTATACCAGTTAGTGCAAATTAATGAAATTATAACTTTTCCATTTATGTTACAGGAATTAATTGGGTTTCGTTATTTATGTCCGAAGTCTAACTTTATTATGAACGTATGTAATGAAGAAAAACGAGAAAAGAAAATGGAATAAGTTTTCTTACTTGGTGGCATGGCGATTCCGTATCCTTTTGAGTCTAGCATGCCCCCCACTTGGGTAAGGTCACAGTTCCTTTCCACTACGTACTCAATAGTGGTGGATTCCATAAGGTAAGCATATGCGCCCTTTCCTCGAACTACTCGCTCTTCGCCCTCCTTGTTACTAGTAGCAAAAACCGATGGTCGAGCGGATTCCATGAAAGACCACATTCGTTGGTACGTCGAGAAATTTGAGTCCTATCGATTAAAATATACATTTTTATTTATACAAAACATATTCGGAATAGCAAAACTTTTTTTATGAACATGTAAATTGAGACATTTATTCAAATTTATAATCGCTTCTGAGTTTGACGTCTTGTAAAACCTACGTATTCATAAAGTCAATATGTCAACTTTGTCAAATAAAACAAGACGCACGGAGAACACATCATAAATCCCAACAGAATTCAGAAACGTTTCATATTTATAAGGTACTTGTGCCGAGCCTAAATTCATAAAGTAAGAAAGACTCTTTAATACGAAACATTTATTATAAGCTACAAAAACGCCTTATTTTTACTGCCAAATAACCGTCAGTTTATTTTGAAACACCTTTTCGACAAGTATCAGGTTTATTTCAAGGTCTAAATGGAAAGGGAAAAGTGGTTCTCGGTTAATTTGAGGTTTCCAAATCCACCAAACGTAAATTAAGGGAATTAGAATTCGTTTCGTTTAGCTGTCGCCACAGCCTGATAGAAATCGAGGAGACTAATGAAGTGGCTTACATTTTGGAGACATTGTCCTACTAATTTGATACGGAATTATTGTTTGTATTTTATATTAAAGCAGTTTAAATATTGGTACCAAAGAAACTAAAATAGTATTTTAGTAAGATGTTGACTTACAGGGATTGTCTGTGCCAACATGCAAGTAGGCATTTTCAACATATTATTTTGGCAATTTGGCACCTACTCACCCTGAAAAATGCAGCAGTAGATCCTCCCTTCAGTGCGCCGTACTTAATCTTGGTCTGTTTGGCGAGATCTTCAGCACTTTCAATTGGCGAGTCCATTCGCTCGACAGTCAGGAACGCGGCGAGGTTGGCAGTGTATGAAGATATCATGATCAGAGTGAAGAACCACCACATTCCCGCCACCATGCGGGTCGATACCGCTCTGGGGCAAACAATTGTGATTAAAAATAGAAACTACTAAGCTTTCTTAAAATAGTTTAAGTCCGCTCGGAGTCCAAAACGTAGATTTCAAATAATTGTCTTTTGTTTCCGAGAAAAATGATTTATGAGTAGAAAAACAAAAAACATTGTAGGTACTTGTGTTGATATTCATAGAACCTTGCGAAGGCTTGTTAGCGAATGAGGAAGGTCCACAATCATTATTTTGATCCTTCGCTGAAATTGTGGTTATGAAATATGTAATATTTAGTGCATGTTGGGTTTCAGTGCAGTTCCAATGTTTGTTACTGGTTGTAACATTTAGATATAGGTGTACAAATACTATATTATGTGTATTTCTAAATATTGACAAGACATTCATTTCGCATCGATACAATAGAATGTTTCTATCACAATGCAAAATCAACATCTTAGTATATCTAAGAAACTTTGATGCAGCAAGCTGTGGAAACTGCACAAGCAAGTCTCGGGTGCGATATCAAAACGTCGGTACTAGTTGTTTATTTAGCTACTAAATCAACTGCAAATATTCAGCTAAGTACTGTGAAATGGAAACCAAGGCTAGTCGAAATAGCCGACACGTCTCTATTTAAATTGGATACTCTAGGCGACTACCGATGCTTGAAATTCACAAAGGGCTGTGGCCGCTTTGAAACTAATTAGTAAAAGGGAGGTCTTTATCCAAGTTCTGCGACTGAAGGCTACATTTCCGTTTTGTGACTAACGTGAGATAACTTTTGGCGTCTATTTTACTCATTCTTATAATATTTGAAAGCATTAACCTTTGACCATTGATCCGATTTAAATAATTCAATATTATCGAGCGTGGTACATGGAGAACCGTAGCGGAATTGTAGCCATCAGAGGCATAAGGGACTTACTTCGGCGCGATATCCGAACCTTGCTGCATCAAGGAGCCGATAGTGAACCACAGCGAGTTCAAGAGAGTGAACTGATTCTCCAGCACCGGCGGCTCGTCTAGGCAGTTCCTGGGGGAGTCCCACTCGTACGGGCTGAACCTGCGCCCAAATACTGCCTGTCAGTCACCTTACTACGGATCGTATCATCGTTAGCCAACTTACTTAAGAAATGTTCAACATCCGGTAAACGTTCACCGCCAACACAACGCCGCCGAACAATAATTTACTTTGAAAAGTTTTTGTTTGTGAGAAACACGTTCCATGGAAAAACTCAAACGATCAACGCATTATTAAAAAAACTTTGTACTTATAGGCTTTAATTAATTATCTTGTTGGAAACGTAATGATTCGGGTCTTGGTTATTAAATTTATATACCCATGATGATATACATACATTTCGTATGTAAATTGATTCTACCAAAGACAAAAAATAAGGTTTTATATTTCAGCGGAACGTTTCCGGAATAATTGAAATTCACTTGCGAGTAAGTTGGCGAATGATTGAACAACCCCTGTTTTATGTTCATCTTGTGGACTTCGCTGAGTTCACTATTTTATATCACCAGAAATGAAATGCGTGTTTAGAATGCGAACCAACTTTTATTGGTAAGTATAAGTATCCATTCGACTCTATAACGTTTAAAGCGAAAACATGCTTAATTTCATTTCCGGTAAGGAACTGCTCGTTGGCAGTAATATAAAAAATAATGTTAGGGGTCTTGCTAAATTATCTTACTTGGGCAAAAAATCACAACTTTGCTGCATAAGAGATCCGATGGCAAACCATAAACAGTTTGCTAGAGAGAAAATGTTTTCCATTTTCTCACCATCAGGAGTGTGCGTGGGATGCCATTCGTATGGAGTGAACCTAGTGAACAAATACATTTAGCAACCTAATTACATTCGGCACGTTTCCAATTGAAGCAGACGATGCTATGTTTCACCAGAGATATGACTCTACTTGAGCTGGCGCCATCTCCATCGCGCTTGTATGTGCGATAAATGATCTGCACACAATACTTTATAAAAATTAATTTTTCACTAAGATCAAGAAGATAAACTCGAAGCATTCATATCAATTACGTACATAATTTAGTGCCAAAACAAACAGAAAATTCAATCGCAAGTTTTGAATTATTTTCATAAAGCTACACTTTTTGTCTACGTATACGCACCTTGCCAATATAAAGAGCAGAACGGATACGCCGAGATATGCGGTGGCCATATAAATCCACACGTCGAGGGAGAGCGGTGATAGAAACGAGAACAAGTTCGGCGGTTGCTTAATGGGCTTGCGGTAAAGCACGGAAATGCCGAGATTCATGAACGGCATTGTGAAGTCAACCACTTGCTCCCTGTACAAACGAAAATAATACAGCGAATGGTTTAAATACAATGCGCTTCACAGCCACACAAAAGAATTTCGACTGAATGGCTAGGGAACAAATAATATTATTTTGCCTTCCAAAATAGCTTCGCTCGTATTTTTGGAAATAGAACAATTACAAACCCTAGTGGTGTTACTGAGGTAGATAAGAATATTACATTGATATAACCGTATGTACCTGTCGTATGTAATGGTTAGATCAGCGATGGCGAGGTCGGCTCGCTGCTCCAACAATTCCCTTATCATGCCGTCCCACTCTTTAGTCTCACGGTTGTAGGACCCGTATCGACCGTCAGGCGCCAGCTTGAATGTATAATTGAAGCCCAGAATTTTAGATATCTCGTGAATTAGATCAATGGCGTAACCCTCGAACTGTGCGTTGCCCGTAAGCTTCTCGCTGGCCTCTCTCCTCATACAATATGGCGAGCTCTAGGGATTAACAGAACAGATTACATATGTAAATGTGTTAAAAAAGAATTACTACATGAGTAAACAGAGTTTACATACTCGGGGAATACACGTGAAATGAATACTTAAGAAGCGCACTTTTAGAAATGCTCAAGTGATTTTTTTATTTAAATACAGGTTTCTGTCTTCTGTGTTTCTGTTTAGAGCTTTGTATTGTATGTATCAAGGCATGAATACGGATATGCCTCACATGAATATTTTCTCTCAGGGAATATATTTTTACTGTGTGCCAGTCTACATAAATCCCCTCTTCGCTTCTCGAACGAACACTCATACCTATACGCGATACGCTAATTTTGCTTTTGTGGGCCGCGGGAGGGCCGTAATATGTTTCCACTAGATTAATGCCTATATCTTGAATGTTATTTATTGCTTACCAGAATGGTTGTTACGATGAGCGTCTTGTTCTGCAGAATTTCCACTATCTGTTTTTGGTTTTCGCCATAAGATCTCGTGTAATTCACACCTTCTGAAGAGTTCCAAGTTCCAGCCTTTTGCAGCCCGTCCCTCGTTAATTCAATTATATCTAGAGTGAAATCGCTTCTGAATCCTTGATGATCAAACTTTATCACTCCCGTTAAGCCTTTCATTTCGACCTGTTATTGAGTTAAGTATTGTACAAGTTATTTTGTTTATCAAGTTCCGAGATGTATTTAAGTTATATGGATAAAGTTTTGGGTCAAATGTATCTACGTCAAAGTTTTGATAGAGTCGTTGTCCTCGTTTATGTGAAATTTGATTATCGTTAATTGAAAATTGATTTAATCACACACGAAATTGAAATCATATTTCTGTTTTGATTTCGTCCCCTTTGTGAGAATGACAACCGCGGAGGTTACGCTTAATGACATTATTGATTATTGATTGGCAATATATTGTTCCCTTCAATTTAATATTTGATTAATATAAATTTTTGCGTATTATAGGATATTAATGACTTTAAAAAAGTATTTTCAAGCTTGATTAGAATACAAACTTCTGAGAAGTACATCTGATTAACTGCGCGTTTAGCGATATCCGCGCAGATTGACACAAAAAGCGAAATCCCGGAGTGCTTAAGCTGAACATTGCTGTAGCAGTTAATCCGTCAAGTCTCACGTTCCAGCAGTTAATCCCACTATGTTGGTCGCAGCTTTGTTCAATGACCACTAAACCTCTCTTTTTATTGCGAGACTTTAGTACACTTTGAACGAAAACCTTAGCACATTTGTTCATGGATTTAAATACAAAATCAACATTTTCATGCTAGAGAAGGGACGGTAAAGATAATATTGCTTTTAAAATATTTATTCATACAGTGAACTATATATACTACGAATACCTATATTTGTTATATAGTCCTTTGTCTTATATGTATTAGGATTTGTTCTATCAAATGGGATCATAATACTGATGAGTGATGAGTGTTTTTTAAAGATTTACATACAATATGTCTACCGAAAGAGAACAATGTGTCGCGGAATTATGTAACCACGATACCACCATAAATTATAGTCCTCTCGAATGTAGAGAAATACTATGACTAACTTGCGCTGCTGGGATATCACTATGGATAACTAATAATGGATGACCTAATAACATTTGCCCAACAGTGCAAGTGAACTCAATACCTTTAAATTTTAAGTTTAAGTAAGTGGAATAAAAGTAACTTACAATTTTCATATAATTGATGAGGCTGTACCCATGAGGCCACGTGTCTTCGGCTTCGCAAGAAAGAGGTCTCACGTCTATTTGTTGTGACGTGTCAAGATCATGCAGAGCCTTCGCGAACAAATGTACAGCATCGTACATTAGAGCCGTTTCCGTCTGCGCACCAACCAATAATAATATATTATGTGACAATTATGATAGCAAAGATAATTAATTAACAATGAAGTTTTATTAAAAGGAAAGTTTACAAAGAAAGCATCCCAAAAAGGTTGTATTTGTTAAGCGTGTAGGCCTAAAATATGTGCATAATTTTAACGTTCTCACCTTTATAAAGGTCATGTTTTCCTGCAAACAAACAATTATTATTAACACAACTCCATTGTTACTCGTAGAAATAATTTTATTGTTGCCCTACATACCTTAGCTGTCGTATGTCCCAATTGGAGTTTACGTCCTTTTCGGGCTTCATCGTAAACCCAATCCCTTACGACTCTTTGGACATCAGCACGTTCAGGGTCAAGTAATCTTAAAGCTGTAATATTTGTGCCACCATATTTGAATTCTTCTAAATCTACGCTGTGAAGGTCCTGTGGATAATAAAAGGTAATCGATGTTCTAGAGCTTTCTATTATTGTGTGTTAGGTACAGGTATGACGAAATATTTCTAAAAACATACCAGGGACGTTATTAAATAACTATGATAGTCAGACATCATTCCTATTTGCTGCGCTTGTTGAAGAACGTCTCGTATCCTCTCAGTAGCACAATCTAATACAATATGCGACTCTGCTGAATTCTTTATTTGTTTCAAAAGCGGCCTGCAAAGGACATTGATCTTTAGTACCGAGTAATAAGTATGACAGTTGTGTTCGACTTGAGACCGTACTTACCTGTAATCATGAGAATCTGGCAGTTGCCTCACAGCAACAGGCAGTTCCGACGGGCCGTGAGCTTTGAGCAACTCTTGAAGACGAACTAAGCCGTCGCTGTTCTCGTAAACTATTGTGAACGATCGCCAACCCCAAGCTCTCACTAAATCTACGTAAGCCTAAAAATAATATCATTAGTAGCAGTCAGGAATCAATTCTGGATATTAGTCTAACACCAAAAGCCATTATAGGATTTGATATAATTTCAATATTGTATTCATGATTTGTATTATGGCTGATAACAATTGGGTATTAATTAAACCCAATGGATCAATGTATTAATTAGTTCTGATCCTGTTCAGTTCCGATTGCTATTTATGTAATTAGGTACATTGAATCTTATGGGACAGTGAAATTTATTTGAAACGTTTCTTGATATTGACTCCCTTTGAATTCTTTCGCATTGTGTGTGCCCATGCTACATAAATGGGCGATCGACCTAATTGCGGATGTCCAATCTTCCGGGTGGGTGGACAATTTCATTTTTACCAACGACGAGGCTGCGGCCACATGTGCGTTTAATGGCCGTATCGTTTAAGTATTCAATTTTATGTTATCTGCTTCAAAAGGATGGTGACGAAATAAGCTTCAGACCTTTTAAACTTATTTATAAGCAATCTCAACCGTGTTTGGAAATTCCCTATTAGCATTTTATCACGTTAAATAATACCTTCTGAGGTCAAAGATAGGAACTTGGTCACATTTTCTAACAATTATTTGTGCCCAAACAGTTTGTACTTCGATCCCGCCGACAAAATACCTAAATTAATTTAAAAATTATGAAATGGGAACAATGAAAACTTAAACGGTAACTTTAATATGGAGAAACTTTTGTAAAAAGAAAGTGGTAAGAAGCCTTTAAGATCTTAAGAAGTGAGATTTCATTAAATTTTTATCTGATTTTGAAACAATCTCGACCTTATATTTTTTTCTTTTTGTGTAACGAGAGACAGTTAATTGTTAAGGCGTTGACAAATATACATACGAAATACCTGGCGATTTATTTACGTAGTCAATCAGGCAATAACAGGTACCTGAAGAATGAAATAAATTGAAGAATCGAGTATAATGTTGGTGCTATTTGATAAATTTATTTGAAGCAAGCTTGTTACCAAGAAACAAAATAAAACACATTTTGTTACGGAACTCGTGATCTCCAACTCTAAATATTATATTACCGGTTTGTTTCATAGTTATATGTATAAAGCTGAACTTTCTTTTGTGGAAGACAATTCGACAATTATATTTGTAGTTTACTGGTATCGTAAACACATTTCAAAGGTTCTTTGGTAAGTATTGTGGTTCAAGGGGAAATAGGAAAACATTTCCAGTGAGCTCTCGCGATAGGGTCGACTAAGTCTTGCATACCGACGGCCGACGCCACTTTCCGCAATTAAGATAATTAATTAACAAAGTTTTCTGTGACAGTCTCTAAGCTCCACGAAGAAGACGTCTCCGTTACTTGGCGGGCGGTCAATGTTTACCTAAAACATTGCTTTATTACTCTACATTCTATATTTAGCTACATTTACGAAATATCATTTTAATTCAGAAAACAAAAATAGGTCCACTTGCTCGACATGTATTAAATGCAGGTGATTTTTTTTATGGCTTAGGATGACTTTCGGATAACCCGGATGGTAAGCAATCAATGGGCAAAACCATACGAGTTTTAAGTGTGGGAGAGCTATGCTTCGGCACAAGTGGGTCGGTTCGACCGGAGTGATACCAGGGTCTCACAGAAAATCGGCTTGAAACAACCACAGCGTTGTGTTTCGCCGTGTGAGTGAGGTTACCGGAGGCCCAATCCATCCTCTCCACCAACACCTAATTCTCCAAATCCCCAATCCCCAAAAGGTCGGAAACGTACTCGTGATTGCTCTCTTTCCATGGGCGGCGTTGATTGCTTACCATCAGCTGATCCGTCAGCTCGCTTGCCGACTTTTACCACATAAAAAAAAGTTACGATTGCTTTTTCAACCTTTTCGGAGTCACGAATTTCTGGACTCCACCATCTTGGGAATTAGGGTTGAGGGGGAGAGGTAGGGGTGTGAATTGGGCCTCCGGTAACCTCACTCACACGGCAATACCCAACGCTGTGGTTGGTTTATGTCGGTTTTCTGTAGGGCCGCAATATTATACCGGTCGAGCCGGTCGACCGTGTTAAAACCTTTAGTGGGATTGATCTCAGTGATATCTATCTAATTAGTTACTAACCCACAAATTCCCAATATAGATACCTCAATCCGATAATTATCTGGCTAATAACCAAATTAAGCTCGTTCATGTATGCGTTCTAATATGTGTATTATGTATTAAACTAGTAATTTACGGTTAGGATAATTACCCAGACAAACACGTAAACAAAGCGTATATTTACACATGTGTCCACAGTTCAGTAAGTATACAAAACTAAGTAAGTACTTGAGAGAAATCAAGACACACACATCTGAGAACTTCATGAATATTGTGTTTAATTTTATAGTTGATTAATTGCTCCATTTTAATTATGTAAGTTTTAGAATAGGAACTTATAAGGAATAAGAAGTTGATGTTTATTTAGTACAACAACGTATGAAAGTTCTTAAGTATCTTACGTACATATAACATTGAGAATATTCTGTTTTTATATTATCAGCTTATAAGTGCCCACTTTTTTATGTGATAGATTGGCAAACGAGCAAACGGATTACGTGATGGTAAGCAATCGGCGTCGCCCATGGACACCCGCAACGATGGAGGAGTTACGAGTGCGTTGTCGACCTTTAAGGAGTTTGGGATTTGGAGATTTTGGGAAAGGGAACGTATTGGGGTAGGGAAAAGATTGGGCCTCCGGTAACCTCACTCACACGGCGAAACACAGCAACACTCTTTGGTTATTTCACGCCGGTTTCTGTGAGGCCGTGGTATCACTCCGGTCGAGCCGACCCATTCGTGCCCAAGCATGGCTCTCCCACACTTTCCCACTGCTGAGAAATCTTTCTTTCCACACTGAGAAGGTTTGACCAATAATCATCACGCTTGCTCATTGTGGATTTGTGAATTGAAACTAATAATTTGAAATATTCTCAAGATACTTTCCTTCGCCGTATGTCTTTAAAAACGTCACATACTCACCTTAACCTCCGCAATATTCATTACACAGTCGGTGAAAGACAAGAATTTATTCAGGGATAAAAACAACGTTTGCAAAAAATAAAAGGTAAACTCACTCGACTCAGTGCAGCTGGGTGTGGATAAAGGTTCACAAGACAGGACTCTCTTCTGGTGCGGTAATCCCACCTGGTCTCCAAATGTGGTAGTTCCATAGTGTCACATATTGACTGGACGTGGGCGGCAGCTGGCGCGGACTGGGGCCCAAAGATGGCCGCCACGCCACTTCGTAGCAGGTGGCATACTACGAACAAAATGTCACACGTGCTTTTTATGTGAAGAATTTTCCTTTTGTTTTGTAACAAATACCGCAGCTGCGCAGTTCATAACGTATTTATTTAAAACTATATGAGCACATATACACACATATAGGGATTCTGTATAATGTAGGAAGACACACACACATGGTATAGCTCCTTCACGTACATAGTCAAGTCTAATAAATAACACATTATAAAGACTTGTCATTAATTAGTTTGTTAAGATTCACACCAATCATCCGTAAGAATCCCACACATAATAATTTTTTTTTAAATCAAATGTCAATGACACCTACACAGACACGTGGCAATGTTATTATTCATGCATACGTACTTCCTTCTTATAAATAAAGCGTTATAATGATGTCTAAGACGTATTATAAACAGTACTGAGGTAGATAAATTAAATAGCAACATAGAAAATACAAGAATTGTTAGTAAGTCGACGATTATTGATATTTCAGAACTATATGTATAACATTTGTATCGAATAAAAGAGGCTAGCTTTTGTAGAATCGAGTCCATTTCAATTAGTAGTATGTAAAACAGGTGCTGTAGTAACTTTTCATTAGTGAACTGTATATACACACTTTATAAAGACTTGTTATTAATTAGTTTATTAAGATTGACACCAATCATCCGTTAGAATCCTACACGTACTTAATCATATTTTCAAATGTCAATGATACCTACACAGACACGTGGCAATATCATTTTTCATGAAAACGTACTTCCTACTACAAATATAGGGTTATAATGATGTATAAGACGTTCTATAAACAGTACTGAGGTACCAACATAAAATTAAAAAAAACAACATTTGATTCAAGATTCGTAACAAAGTTAAAGATTATCAATTTTTCATAACCGTATCTATAACATTTTTATGAAACGAGGCTAGCTTTTGTAGAATCGAGTCTATTTCAATAAGTTGTACTTATGTAAAACAGTTACCGTAGTAACTTTATATTAATGAACTTTGGTGTTTAAATATTCTAACACGAATGTAATCCCTCGATGACTACAACAACGAACAAAGGAAAGTCAAATTAACAATACGAAATATGTTAGAAAATACTTGTACACGCAATAAAAGAAAAGCATCACGTTCGTACAGTCACGTTGTCATAGCCTCGTACGTGACCATTGGACGAAAACTATTACGTCACACGTCCCGTTCAGGGCTGATTGTATCCGTGCCGGATCGGACAACTGGACCCGTTCACCCGGTTATGTAAAACGGGTAACCAGACGAGGACATTACTTCTCACCTAACTTTATTATATCAAATAATATAAAAGATAGATTTACGTGATATTTCACAAGATTGATTGCAAATGGCTTTTCGACGTAAGGCCCTAAGTTATAGCCTTTATATTGTGTCCCTTTACTCTATTTATTCGGCCTAAAATGAGTTATTTTTAGATTTCGTGTTATTCTATTTCGTTACGTTCTTCTCTGAAGAATTTGTAACAAGAAACATGTATTCAATAAAATTATCTATTAAATAACTCATGTAATATGTTCTATGTCTTCGAATTCCAAGACATCTTAGGAAACATTTAATAAAATTCCGTTGAAAAGCTCTCATACTGGCTTTTTTTCGTAATTTAAGCAGAAATACAGAAAGCGACGTTAAAACGTATGTCCAGCTATTACAGCGAGTCACAAAGTATTTGGTCAGTTCCTTCAGTCGTCTGTCAAGTGTTATACAGAGGAACATCGATCTATCTTCATTAAATAAAGGGTGAGCGGGACATAAAGAAACGTCGGGTGATATATTATGGCGGAAAGATTATGGCTTTCAAGTGACGTAGACGGTGACAGGGCGATAACGTTCGCGCGTTAGTAGCACCCTACTTCGAAATTTGCTGCCCTAACTACGGCCTACCAAGATTTGGTAAAACTTATGGATATGAAGTTTCCAGTTCGAAATCACGTGGGAGTCATGATGGTAATTTTATTAAAATGATTAAAAGCAAATTTGTTGATCGGATAAATTTAAGTCGTGGATTTTTGTGCTTAAGAGTTTTTTTTTGATAAAATATTTAGGAACGTCAAGTCACGTTTTTATTTGATACACGACTATCTTACGTAGAACTGACTTTAAGCCCATAAAGCTTATGAAGGAAATGTAGCAGGTGTTGGTGACATAAACCTAAGCCAATAAAGAATGAAATAAAAACATAATTTTATACTTTTTGTTCTTTCCACAGATTACCTTTTTTGGGATAATCTTATATCCTGATATTAATAATGTATGAAAACACGTACCTCGTTTGGAAGCATGGAAGCTGTCTTGGGGCGAGATGGTCTCTACTTGGGCTAACAGCTTGGCTCTTGGCAACACTGCCCTGTCCGCATTCACTCGCTCCACTGCATATCGAAACGCGACCTCTTGTTTGTCATCTTCCGGGTGGAAAAGTCCACCTGTGATAAAAGGCATGTTTAGTTAGTATAAAACAAAGTAGCTTATTTGTGTCCCTGTTTCCCTATTTATGCTCAAATCTTGAAAACTACGCAACTGATGTTTATGCAGTTTTTTAATAGATGAAGAAAATTTTAATGAGCATTGCACCCGCGTGATGTTGAGGCGGGTCGCTTGCTAATGCTAAACTTAATGTAATTCTTCTAAAATTTTGTTATCCATAGTGTTGATTCTACAAAACAGTTTTGAAATTTATATTGCAATTATTGTACCTAATTTTATTAACAAAAATTCCGACGTTATATTTCGGATGCGAGTTTTAAACAACGCAGACATCTTTGAAAGGATAGAGGTTATAACATATATTTTAAGATGAATCGAGATTGGTAGGAAATTGCGGTTGTGAATGTCGGATACAACTAGTGAGGACTAACATTTCCTTTTTAGTTTACGAAGAATTTTTCTTCAATAACAAAATTTTCTAGAATGGAATACATTCTATGTATTTACCTAATAGAGAACAACACAATATTCTGATTACGAATCATCATCTTTCATTACATCGATACAAATATCATTACATCGATACAAATAAATTTAAACATTAATTTATTTGTATCGATGTAATGATATTAAATCTCTCCAAAGATACCCAAGATCCAATTATATTCAGACGATTACTATAAAGCTATATTAATATACATTTTTGCGATACTACTCACGATTAAAATATAAATCAACATTAAATTCAGATTTCGCTGTAATTAATTCATTATTATAATTGAGTTGGTAATTTAATCCTTACCTATTCGGATGGTGTCGGGCAGGGCTGATAGATGGCCGAAGAATAAAATAAGGAATATTGCGTTCGCCCCTCTCATTCTGTAACAAAGAATAATGACGTCATTTTTATATACTAGCAGCCGAGATAAATGGATAACTAAACAATGTGTTACTCAAGATCACACTTCAAAACTTCAACTGTTTTGGATATAAAAATAGTCATTCAATGAGCTAGCTGATTCTGAGAATGAGGTTGAATAATGATAGTTCGTGTTTTAGGAAATTGTTGGTTAAAATATAATATTTAAGGCCGATTTTTCAATAGTCAGATTAATGTTATCTGAGAAACAAAATTGTTGCTGTCACTGTCTTATACAAACATTCTGACGCGACAGCATCGTAATTCTTCTCTAGGTAACTTTTGTTTAACCATTGTAAAATCAGTCAAAATTGCAACAAATTAAAGGTTTTCTTAAACATATGGACTTCATTCGTTGGCAAGAACAAATCATATGCTAAAGAGATGTGCGATTGAATGCAGTTACTTGGAAGTGATATGTGTATGCGTTATACGTACTAGTTAATTTATTTCTACATTTTGATAGAATAGGCTATGTACGTGTCTATCCAATTTGAAATAAATGCTCTCACTTTATTTATTTTTTTATTGAAATTGATACAAATGTAAATTGTATTATTTTTTAGAGTAGACGTGACTAACATTTTTATTTAATACATGTTACACACAAACTAAAATAATACAATTGCAAATGAAATGATCGTCGCATCGTTTATTTATAAAATATTTACTTTACGTAAATGTCAACAGAGTGATTTCCAGTTTTCAATTAGCAATTATTTTGGCCATTGCCAGCCCCAGCGGGACTAGGGGCCTATTGTTAGTTAGTTTACATTGCGCTACGTACCCAAATAAATATAGAAAACAGTCGCCTGTCACGTAAATAGGCGAAACAAAAAAGGTTTCACGACAGTTTACGAAATGAACCTTATTATCTAGACCATAAAATAAAAGCTAAATAAATTATTGGCACTGAAGCTGACTTTGTCACTTGTTGGCTATACAAGTGGAGCTTTATGAAACGAAGTTTAATTAAATAGGTACCTTTACGAATTATTACGTCTTTTGTGTTCCTGAGGGTATAACGAGAATTTACAGAATAACTATAAAGTCTAAGGGCAACTTATCGCCTAAAATCGTAACGATAACCTCGAAATAAAATGACGCAAGACACAAATAATCAAGCATCACAAAAGTAAGTTACTTTGACGTTGATTTCTCTTACTCTTATAGCTTGATTGAAAGAGGTGTCTTCAGTAAATCTACTTTCATCAATCCTCTGTAAATGGGCTCAACCATGGAAACATTCTTTCTTATCAATCCTTGTCACTATACCTTCTTTCTTCCTATATCTCTATTTAATCCTTGTAGTTCAATCTTTTATCTGCGACTTAAATTTATTCTAATTCATTCAATTCATTATCTATTTTTAAAATTTAAGTTGTTTAATCTTCACCGACTCGTGTCTATGCCCTTTTATAGAATTGCTATTTTGCTTTCTATGGTCAAACATATTATTAAGGTCTTACAAGCTACACTATCCACAACTTAAATAATCTTAATATATTCTTTTTATGTGTTAGGTTGGCAAACGGGCCTACGGATTACCTGATGGTAAACAATCAGCTCCGCCTATCCATTTGGGGATTAGACATTTGGAGATTTAGGGATAGGGGGAGAGGAAGGTTTGGGCCTACGGTAACCTCATTCTCACGGCGAAACACAATACTGAGGTTGTTTCAGCCTGTTTTCTTCCAGTCGAGCCGACCCATTCGTGCCAGAGCATGGCTTATAGCACTTATTTATTTATTATATAAAAATAAAAATTTATACAATTAAATGTACAATCTAACTTAATGCATTGTAACAATCGACTTCTTTTTGGTGAAGATATTTTATGTTTAATTTGATGATTATTTTTTCTTACGAATTTTGTCTAAATATTGACAATACCTACAAGGAAGTTAGTGATTGGTGTGATAAATAAACACTATACTTAGTTGGCGTAAAAAAAGTAAAGTGTTTTGTAGTTTATTTTACTCGTCGGAAAATAGACTTGATCTCACTTATAACGATTCGATATTCAGGCAATATTCACGAACGCGAAGAGTAGTTTAACCCAAATAGACATTGAAACTCGTTATCTAGAACTTTTAAATAGGCATCCGTCTGTCTGTTGCTGAAATATGCAAGCCTTAAAACGTTTCTGTCCTATATACAAAGGTCACAGCACTTAGTGGAGTTATTACAAGATAAGTGGATTCTCCTCTCGAATGCTAGTGAAATTGTTGATGTAGTTTACTTGATACACTTCGCAGCTAAACTAACCGCTAACTAAATAACAGGTATTTTAGCACACTGTTGTTTCCATAACATTTATAGTTCTACTGTTCTTGGTTCTGAGAATGAAGATTAGTTTTGCAAAGTAAATCGCTTGCAGAGGACGAGAGTGTGAGGAATAGTGTTTATAAATGTGTAACTGAATGCACGGTTGGCACGGTTCGATTCTCGCACAGAACAACTCTTTGTGTGATCCACAAATTGTTGTTTCGGGTCTGCGTGTCACATGCCTTGTAAACGCACCCACGACACAGGAGAAAGACGTAGTGTCGGGCAAAGTTTATTACTTAAAAAAATAAGTAAAAACAGTTTTATTTATTTACAAACTTCTAACCACAACATTTGATTAAATATCCCTTTATGAGTACCGATACTATGAGTAAGTAACAATATAAGCTATAGCAATCGCATTCATCATTACTTCTCTTTTGTTATAGGTTACCTGCAGTAAGGTACCAATAGGCCTAGGTTACAAAGGGATTCAATACACTGTAGTAGATCATGCCTATCCAACCACGTATCCCTGGTTCTAGATTCACTAGACCTATATTGACACACTAATGTCACAATGACTCAGCAGATACAGTATTAATGTTGCATTTAATAGAAAATCCGGTTCAATATTACACAACAACTTCTATTTAAAACACCGTTTTTGAAGTCTTAAAAACGGTGCTTATCTATTCAAATGCTGTTAAGTTTACTAAAGATAATAATGAAAGCCCATTCTCATCATTCTGAAATTCCTGCTTACCTAGGAGAATACCTCGAAATTAGCTGGTTTCGGTAGTTTCGGTTATCAAATAAACATTTACGACGGACATTAAGGGTGGATAGAAGCCTAAAAGGGAGACAACGGTTATAACCAAGATCAAGATTAGTTGCTCCAAATAAAACCAAAATAGTTCCAGCTGAAACTTGTTTTAGGTACATTGCTGAACTTACTCAGTCGCTGGGAGTAGATCAATATTTACTTGGACGGTTTGCAGATAATACTTCTTTTAATTTTATACCTATACTATAATATTATAAAGAGGTAAAATTTTTAAGCTTGTATGTAGGGGGTAATCTTTGGAACCGCTGGTCGGATTGACAAAATTCTTTCACTGATAGATAGCTACAATGTTTCTGAGTTCTATAGGTTATAAAACATGACGCTACCTTTAAAATGAGCCAAGCAGCGGAAAAAAACGCGTGTGAGTAGCTAGTATTACTATATCCGAGGGATCGTAGTCAATTTGATGTTATTTCTGATTTATATTCAGGCTTATAGGCATTTTCAGCTTACTGAAATTTAATGATACCTCATTATCATTATTTACTTACTCCTAACGAGATGATGTTTGATGTAGATTATATAATAATCTCAAACTAAATATTTGAAAATGAGAACTATTTGATCTAAATTAATCAGTTCATGAATTGCCAAAATTTGTAGCAAAAATAGCAACGTATTTTGAATTTTGCTCTTTTATTTTTTGCAGCAGTATAAACGCGTGGTTGGCCATTTGTAGAATTTCAGTGGATTGATGAATCTACGACTGGATTGCTAGATGATATACTGCCGTACAGTACATTTTTTTGTATTTCCTGCTCTAAACAAATACGGATACATATTTGCTTTTTGCATTCCAGTTCACGTTAACAGTTAAGAATAAACTTAGTCGAGTGTTAACAGTGAAGAATTTGATATTCAAATCGCCCTTTATTTTGGCTCATTTGCATCAACAATTTGACGTCACGAACCCTTAGTATTGTGAAGCGAGATATCTAGTACGTTATGAAACGAGGCACACAAGAGCTCATTGCGGAGGCTATGAAATAATAATAGCAGAGCAGTTATCCTTTTTGTTACGCAAATCAACACAAGACCGCTGCTACATGGCTAAGGCAGGCTAGGCATTGTGTAATTCCTTTGTATAAAGCTTTTATGATAGAATTAGGCAAGATATAATCTCAAACGTAAACTATGATTGAGAACGGAACGATATTTATGATCGATTCAATACATAATTATATGTTCATTGCGAAACATCTCAAATATAATAGTTTTTTATTGTAGAACAGGCCTTTTTCGGTTGATTAATACTAGAGTTATAAATGATAGAAAATTTTTACGTAGTCTTCAGAATAGATTTGTTATTTTGTTAATGTTCTTTTTGTCCGACCTTCAGTCAGTACAATATAGGGTATTCGTAAAGTACCTAATCTTCAACAGTGCTCATTCTGTTAATGGATTTTTAATCTTTGGCTAAAATAATTGCTATTCCTAAGAAATATTGATATCAAGTACTAAATCAAGTTTGCGATGCAAGCGGACAATATGCCCTTTTTTGTGAGGGGAAAATCATCAAATTACTTCTACCGCCCAGGATCGGGCGGTAGGGAGTGTCAGACTCTTACTGAATAAAAACCCTCCCGATCCTTTTCCTGCTTTAGGCCAAGGTCGTGGTGCTTCATTGCGCTTACTCCGGCTGAACATCAGGCCTATAGGGCCCCGCCCGTGGTGGTCTTTTAGCTCTTTAACCGGATTCTTCGATCCCAGACGCCCAGAGACGCCCACTGCGGTGGCTGGGGTGTGAGAAGAAGACAACTTCCTTCTTTGCGAGCATAACTGCGTTGCACAAAGAGGAGAAGGTTTCCCAGGTCCTCCGCTCCACCATGGCCTTGACTAAGGCC